GCGGCTGGGCCTATTAACCGTGGGCTTAATAACCGGCGACTACTGTAGTTAGAATCGCAGCCATATTTATTTAGCATAACGACGTACTTATTTCGTAGCAGTAGGGATGTTTTATTTTAATACTTCGTATAGGCTACCCGTTACTGCGCTACCGCGTACTAAACCAGTACGCCGATCCTCCAAAAGTAAGCCAAACGGCCCTATATGCTGCCCACCGTCAGACCAGATTAGTGAACTCCAAACTCACTACGTGTTAGTCAACTGCAGTCAGACTAGGGCCACAGCCGTGTGCATGATAAAAGATCAAGCAGTCTCGTGGCTGTACCAAGGCCGCTCCGGGTATTTTATACAACACGGTGGATCGGCGTGTTTATTGTCGAGAAAATCCATCTTTTAAGAACGAGTACTCTGCTAACAACGTCAGTAGTCGGGCGTAAGAGACGTTAAAACGAAGGCATCCCTGTTAACAGGAAGCACTATACATGCAGTGGACATTGAAGCTTGTAAATTGCCAACGAACATTTTAATGAATCAGATATCATACGTGAGCGCGTAATATTGCTTACTAGGGACACGCAATCACTACAGATTACCCTTGTAAACCGTCTTATTTTACTTCTTGTTGAAGTTGTGCTAATAGCGTCTCGCATCAGCATTTGTGTACATCAAGCCGAAGCCATTTTAGTGTGTTCTTTGGTTCTGAGTGTAACAGATTCGGTCTGTCTGCCTTTTTTACGAACTCGGTTGGAAGGTGCATCGAATAGGTTTCACGGGAACCTTTTCTAAAACTTAAATAAGCTGGAACCTGTCTGGCCGTACTCTTCGTATCTTTCGGCGTTCATCGTTAGTAGGAGTTGGAGTCGATCGATTAATTCCTGTTGTTGGATGAATCGGCTTCACGGCTTTCACAGGAAGCGAGCTCCTCGCAGATGTCAACCCAGTGAGTATTCCATTGTCGCACGTCGTAAATGTTTACGAGGCCTATGCGTTCGACGTCCGACTTGA